GTAAGGAGCACTAAACTATAAAATGTGTTAAAAATTGCAAACCAATTTCACAGGTTCTATGGAGACATAAAATTCTGTACCTTCTGAAGGGGGAAACAGATGTCATTTCCTTGTTTTCTCCTTCTCCATTTCCATCTAGTGCTTAAAGCTACACACGATTGTGAAGTACATAAACTTACCTTTTGGAGAACTTCAGCCTTGGCATCGTGAAACTTTACAAAGTGTAGCCTTTGCATTTCTCTTTCACTTTCCCAAGTTTCAAAATAGGGCTGTAGTTGTAGGTTCCAGCCTTACTCAACATGTGTTGAAGTCTCCGAATCCCACTATTTTCGGGGTACCTGCAAAGTTGCTTTAACTGTTGTTGAACTGCAGTGAAAATGTTAATAGTTTACTCCAGTTCACTGTTAAATTGTGAAGATGTAATAGCTTTTGTACGTGCAGTATGAAATGGCAGTAGAACATGAACACAGGCTTGCATCAGAGGTGCAGATATCTTGCCTCTTGCTTTTCATGAGCTAGTGGTATTAACTGAATTTGCCCATTTTTTTATGATCAAAGCATTGCCAGGAGCTATTACAAAGTAACATTACTTTTCAGATATATTATTTAAGGATGCAAAACAGATAGATACGCAGGTTTCTAATTTATAAAATAAAATTTATTAATATTGGTACTTATATGACTTTCAATTTACAGAAGCCATGCGTTATTTATAATACAAAATGCTGGCTTTATTAATTTATTATATTGAGACTGGAACTGTAGTTTCAGCTGAGACTTTTTCAAAATTTTTTCAAATGTCTGTTCTCTTGTTTACTTATCTTCCTGAGTATTTTTTGTCTGATTTGATATGTCTTCAATTAGGATATATCCTTAAATAGTGGTATATGAATGATAAAAGTGTATTGTAAATCAAAACCATAGTGACTATTTTATAACATTGTAAGAGTTGTAGTTGCATGCATATCTTGAATTGATGTTTTGTTGTCTTACAGTAAGTATTGTCCAGCTGGATGTGTGATTCCTTTTGCTGATATTTCAGGCACTATTCCCCATGGATACAGAGATGTAAGTAAAAGTACCGTGGTCTTAGGTGAATTTCGGTAAAACTTGCACTGTATAATTAAAAGTCAATTACAGTTGTACACATTAGTTCTGCTGCCTGGCTTCTGGAATTTGTACCTCCTAAAGTGAATACCATGGTACACTTTTTTGCACAGCTGCTAAATGGCCGGTGCTTCAGACGTTGACATCGCCAAGAAATGAAGTAGCTTAGTAGAGACTCAAACATTTTTGTAAGGCCTGCTGAGAAGGGTGGGTCAATCAAAACACTGTTTTATGCTTCTTGTTTGCTTTTTGTTGTCTTTCTCAAGTTGGGAAATACAGATTTATAAAGAGAGAACCAGTTCTTTTAATGGTGTCCTCTTGTTTTTGACACTGCAATACAGCTCTAAACAGAGTCTCAGTGTTTATCTTAATTTTTTATTACAACATGAGAGATTAAATACTATTTATGCTCAGCAGCTATAAAACCATTTGCAAAAGAGAGTTAATAGTATAACATTAATAATTCTATAAACTGCAAATGAAAATCTTTAATAATGTACTATTTACTTAGAACACTAACATAACCTATACATGGTTTTTCTGATGCAAGCTTTTGTAACTGAATTAGCAGACCTGCCGTAGGACTGGAGAGTGTTTGCTTTGTTTATTTTTAAGTGATTATAATTTTGCTAGCAGTCTAGTAAAAAATTACATTAAATCTCTTTGTTTATCTTCAATACTTTTTTTAATAAGCGATTAGATCTAGCACAGAGGAAATATAATTTGAGAATGTTAGTAAGCAAAGATTTTAATAATCAATACGAACCTAAAGTGTGTGTCTCTGATTTTTCTTAAATATCTGTAAATCCTAGGCTACCTGCTTAAATAATTACTCATATGTAAAAATGTCACCACAGCATAACTGTGTTATATGTTCTGGTCCACAGTGAGTCCTCGCTAAATGGCAGCGAGGTAATTTTTATAGCTAGTAACAAGATGAAGTTGATTCTCTGCCTAATGTATTTGCAGCATTTGTAGGAGTTCTGCTTGTTGGGAGTTTTTTGCCAAAACCTGGAACTGTTTTCTATGGAAGGAAAAGGAAACTTTAGGAAATAAATGCCCTGTGACTTTCTTTTCTTATATTTTATTGCTCTGAATAAAAAGGCAGAGAATTTCCTAGAAGCCAAGTTGTGTGGAAAGAAATCAAGTTGTCCAGCAGTTTAGACACAGTTTCAGGTAGAGATTTTTCATGCGTCTCTTTCAAAGGATCAGCAGCTGCTTGCTGCTTTAAAAAATACACTAAATTTTGATTCGTTCCTGTGTCACCCTAAGGTCCTTGAGGATTTGGAGCGCTCATTGCTGACATCTTCTGGTGAGCAGGGAGGAGAGAGCTGCATCTATTGCAGAATCCCATCTCATACTTTCAAGGGAAATTAGGAAAGGAAAGGGGAGCTGTGTGCATGAGCGAGACATAATTCCATTTATTTAGAAAGCTTTTGGGATATTTGGGGGGTCGGTAATAGGGTTAGAGTTTTTATGTGTTACAATAGTGAGGAGAATTATGTTTGAAAGAGTCTTGGTGAGCAGGTTTTTTTGCCAGTGAGCTTGAGATATAGAGGCATCCTGGCCTGCTGCACCATGCAATTATTTCTAAAGAAGTCACAATGGAGAAAGTTGTTGTGTTTTTAAAATAATGTGAGAAAGAAAATCATCCATTAAGTCTTCCTCTCTGCTGATTCCTTCTTAAAGAATTGTGGTGAGGCTCTATAGCACCCAGTGGACTAGTTGGCAGAGCAGTTCGGCAAACGTATTTAGCAGCAACAGCTAGCAGTGGACTTTGTTTGCGGGAGCAACTGTTATCAGAAAATAAAAATCTGCAGTCATCATCTGCTGTTTATCAACTCAGGCAAGTCCGCACTAGGATGCCACACTAGTAATAACAACCTAAATATAGTTTCTGGAAAGTATATTGGTATATTCACAGACAGCTTGGACCCCCTCGATCTTCTCAAACTCAGGTTGATCTCAGTCTCATTGGAGGTGAGCAAGGGGCTGCAGAATTGCAGCGTGTCTGTGCGTACCCCAGTGCTGCACATTGCAGGAACACCTGTGAATATGCCTGTTGCACTGTGCATAGCCAGTCATTCTCCGTGAACCTTGGTGCACGTGGTGGA